TGATACCTCCTGCCTTGTCTTAGTTGTTCACATTGCCTTTACTATTACAGATCTCTTCTGGTTCCAGATGAATTTTAGTAATGATATTTCTATGTCTGTGGGGGTATTTTAATGACATTTTGATTGGTATTGAATTAAATCTGTGTCATAATTTTGGGAGAATGGCCATTTTCACAATGTTTCCTCTTCCTATCCATGAATAAGGAAAGTCTTGACATTACAGGATTTTAAAAGAAAATAATAGTCAACTGGAATGGACGTCATAATAATTCTTATTGTCTTCACAGTTATGCCTATACTTTTGAACTTGGTACTATCAAGCAAAGCAGAATAGAAGAAAATCAGTCAAAACAAGATGGTGAGGGCAATACTCCTGTTCAAATCAAGTTAATAGGAAATCAAAGTAGGTTACTACAGTATATCCTGCTATTTTTTATTTATTTTTCCCTTAATTAAAAAAATAAAAAGAAAAAAGTATGCCACTGGCTGAGACCCAATAGGCTAGCCCAACTCAGATCCCAGTGCCTGGAGGTGCACCCTAGTGGTGAAGCCTTCGGTAGGTTGACCCGGAGGGGCAGGCCCAGCAGAGGCTGCTCAGGTCTGTGTCTCCCTGGTGCTGCTGCAGTGGGCAGGAACACCTAGCCGGTGCAATTCAAACAGACTGTGGCCTACAGGGAAGGAAGCTGGGCGTCCTATACATGCTTAAACATAAGGAACAAAGAATATGGGAAGAGGGAGCAACAAGAAAGGGTCCTTGGCTCCCAATCCTGAGAAACACACAATAGCAGACAAGGCACCAATACGCATAAAGCACTATCTCCAGATCCTCGTAGACGAGTTCAGGAATGAAGTTATCAATGACCTGAAGCAAGACACAAGCAGAATAGTTAGAGAAATGCGAAGCACCGCCCAAGAAAAAACAGATGGTGGAATGGAAGAACAGAAAAAAAGGGGAGAATTGTTTGATGGAGAAGATAGAAAAAACATAGAATATGTAAAGCAGGTTCAAAGAGATTACCAGGAAACAAAAACTCTCTTGAAAACTGCCATAACAGCTTGAAAGAAACTAAAGACAGATTATCGGAACTGGAGGGCAGATTTGTAATACGGGAGCATGAAATGAAAAACTTCTTAAAAATAACAAAAAAACCAACAACAATACAAGAACTGCATTCTGTTTTCTAACATCTTATTGAGGGGTTTCACAGTTATATGCATTAGGGAGATTGGACTTTAGTTCTCTTTATTTGATTGGATCTTTCTCTGGTTTTGGTATCAGGGTAATATTTGCCTTGAGGAATGAGTTAAGGATAATTCCTTACCTTTCAATTTCACTAAGAGTTTCAAGAATATTGGTATTAAATCTTCTATGAATTTCTTCTATAATTAATCAGTCAATCCACCAGGGCCTGGGCTTTTCTTTGTTCATGTTTTTAATTAAATTTTCAATCTCATTAGTTGATACTGGATTATTCAAAATTTTTATACTTTCTTGATTTAGCTTTGGCTGTTCATCATATTAAGGAATCTGCATTGCTTCTGTGTTTTCCATCCTATGAGAGTAAAGATTTTTTTGCAATAGGTATTAATGATCTTCTGAATTTTTTATAAGATCTAGAGTGATTTCTCTTGTTCATTCCTGAATGTTTGAATTTGAGTTTCCCTTCCTTTTTTGATAAGATTTACTATGGATTTATCCATTTTATTTACTCCAAAGGACCAACTTTTCAGTTCACTAATTCTTTGTGTTTTTTTCTTAGTCTCAGTTGTGTTTATTTTTGCTCTGGTCTTTATACTTTTCTCCCTTGTATGGGCTTTGAGTTTGTCTTGTTCTTTTTCTAGGAGCTTGAGGAGCATCATTAGCTTGTTTATTTTGGTTCTGTTCTGTTCTCCTGATGTGAGAATTCACCTCTATAAATTTCACCACTATAAATTTCTGTTTTCTTACTGTGAGAATTCAGCACTATAAAATTTCCACTATAATAAATGAGACTGCTTTCATTTTGTCCCACAGGTTCTGGTATGTTGTATCTGCATTTTTGTTTAATAATGCATATTGTTTAACTTCTTCTTTAATTTCATCTGTAAACCATGTGTTGTTCAGAAGAGTGTCATTTAATTTCCATGTTTTTATGGAGTTTTGGGGTTTCTTTTGCTGTTAATTTCCAATTTTATTGCCCTGTGGTCAGATAATATGCATGGGATAATTTTAATTCCTTTGTATTTACATATGTATGTTATAAGAGCTAGTATATGGTCTATTTTTGTCCTATGTCCATCTAAGAAGAATGTATGTGCTGATATTGTGGGATGAATGCTTTTTAAATGTCTACTAAGTCCATTTGTTCACTGGTTTTGTTCAGTTCTGCTATTTCTTTGCTGAATTTTTATCTAGTTGATCTATTTCATTGTGACAATAGGGTATTCAGATGCCTCTTTGCAATTGTATTATTGCTTCCTTGATTTTTCATGTCTATGAATATTTGTCTTACATAGTTGATGCTCCATATTTGGTACATATATATTCATGATTGTTATCTTTTTCTCTTGAATTTCCCTCTAACATGTATGTAGGAACTTTATCTCTTTTGATCATTTGTGGTTTGAAGTTTATAAAGTCTGAAAACCGAATAGTTCTCACTGCTTTTTTCTGCATTTCCTGTTGTTTTCTATCTTGTGACTTTTAGTCTATGAATTTTTTTTTTTGAGTTAAATGCATTTCTTGGATACAGCATATTATTTGTTATTATTTCTTTTTTATTTAAAGGAAGACAAAACAAAATAGAAAATGGGCAGAAATAGTACATTCTTTCAAAGAAAAGAAATAGAGAGTAATAAATCACTAGGTGATGCATACATACATGTCTCCCTATAAATAGTTGGTCAAGGTACACAATTGGAACATATAAATGGGATTTCAACCAGGGAGACTGCAAACTGTTCTGTTCAACTATCCCACAAAAACTAAATATTATGGCTATCAATCCTATACCCTTAGACATGTATGCATTTATCCATATCTTAATTTATGTTGAAATCTAACACAACTTATTAGATTAAAATCCTTCTGCAAAAAGATTAATAATATTGCTAGATTTCACATCATAACACTTCAGAATCAGCATTGGGTACTGCAGTGCCACTTTCTTTCCTTCAAAGTTTTTGTTCATTTCATTATGTATCATAAGATCAGTTCCCATAAACTGTTTATAGGTTTTATGTAAGCATGAGTCTTAACATGTATTTCTATCTTTTCTATATTAGAGGGAGAAACAGAACAAAGCAGGACAGAAGTAAACTTTTTCCTATATACATATAAAACTAAAAAGACATATAAATCTGTTGTATAAGAAGTTCTACCCTGGTCACTGTGTTGTTTCTTGTTATCATCAACATAATTGGTGATATCAAAAGATAAAGTATAATTGAGCATATCAGTACATAACAGAAATAACAGAATTAACAGAAATACAACTTTGTAGATAATGTAGAGCTACAAAAACAGGTAGTAATCAAATCAGAATGGATATCGTAGTGAATCATTGTCATTTTCAGTATAGTTGTTTACTCCTCAATTTGTTACCATCAACCTTACAGTTTTGAATAAAATCTGTTAATAATAAGCAGCAATCAAACAAGTCAGATTTAACTAGCATCAGTCATGATACAACAGTATAAGTCATACATGGATTCTGATTGAGTTCATAGGGAATTAAAGACATCCACTATGCTATGGACAGCTGTCTGTGCCCCTCAGTTCCAGTGCTTATATACAAACTAGGACAGAACAAGTTCCAACCAAAAAGAGTGGTGTGAGTAATAGGGGTTTTAATTCCTGATACACTATTAGCTATATCTTCTGCTGTTTTTTTTTTTTTTGAGGACTATTCCTCCCCTTTACTCCCCCAGAATGAACTGTGTATTTTTGTGTCTCCCAACACTCACGGTTTTGTATTGGGGCAACCTGCTATTTACCTGTCTTTCTGAACGTTCTCACTCCTGGGCTGGATTTCTAGTTATATTTCTTCATTTATTAAAGCCTGTGTGTTCAACCTATCCATAAACACTGGTCTAGTTACCCCTATTACTCTCTGGTTCCCTATCACAATGAGTTCCGTTTTCTCATGTTTGATTTTGGTCCATATAACCTTCTTCAGGCTAATTATATTTCCTATAAAGACCCTCTCGGTGGACCGTATCTCTTGATCCACTCTGCCTGCAATTCTCTCTTTTTCCCCTTAAGTTAGTGTATCTAGGCCATCTATATTAGAAATTATATCCAACCTTCTCTGCCTCATTTCTGTTGAACTCTTTTTCTGTCATTAGTTGTCAGTTTGTTTTCTTCATTTTGCTTTCTGCTCCATTCATTGTGGCCTCTCTGCCACTGTTACTGGAATCTTGGTATTTTTGTTTCTTAGAATGTCCTGCAGTATTCACTGTAGAGTTGAATTGGTGGTTGCAAATTTCCCCAGGTCCTCTTTATCCTGGAAACATCTTTTTCTCCAGTAATTTCTAGGGATAGTTTTGTAGGATATATCAGTCTTGGCTGGAGGTTATTGCCTTTCAAAGCTTGAATTATTTTACCCTATGCTCTTCATGATTTGATGGTTTGTGCTAAGAAGTCTGCTGTAATTCTGATAGGTGTTCCCTTGTAAGTGATCTGTTTCTTGTCTCTGATGGCTTTTAATATTCTGTTCTTATATTGGATTTCTGGAATTTTGATTACTATATGCCTGGTTATAGTTCTGTTTGGGTTGTAGGTGGCTGGGGTCCTATATGCCTCATACCTTTACCTTTTCCTATATTAGGGAAGTTCTCCTTGGTTATTTATGTGAATAGACTTTGCAGTTCATTTGTTTGTATCCCTTTGCATTCTTAATTCTTCCTTTACATTCTTAATTCTTAAGTTATAGATCCTCTTATCATCTTCTACCCTTTGTATTGTTACTGATTGTGTCCTTGTTATTTTTAAGAAGTTTTTCCGACATATGACTTCCAGACCATACTCTGCTGCTTCATCTCCTGCCTCCGAGCTCCGGTCTCAACTCAGCTCAGTATGGACCCCAACTGCTCCTGCACTACTGGTGGCTCCTGCAGCTGCGCCAGCTCCTGCACGTGCAAACAGTGCAAATGCACCTCCTGCAAGAAGAGCTGCTGCTCCTGCTGCCCTGTGGGCTGTACCAAGTGTTCCCAGGGCTGCATCTGCAAAGGGGCATCATTGGACAAGTGCAGCTGCTGTGCCTGATTCCAGAGACACTGCTCCACATGTACATAGAATGGCTGTAAAAACCTGTGTTTTTTCATATACCCTGACCGATTTATTACATCTAAGCTGTCAGAAAGAAAAGACAGATCACTTATAAAGGAAAACCTATCAGAATCACAGCAGACTTCTCAGCACAAACAATAAAGTCAAGAAGAGCAGTGAGTGAAGTATTCCAGATCCTAAAGCAAAATGATTTCCAACCTAGATTGATGTATCCTGCAAAACTATCATTCAAAATTGATGGTGAAATATGATACTTCCACAACAAAGAACAGCTGAAGAACTTCGTGAACACCAAACCAACCCTGCAAAAAATATTGAAAGACAGTTTAGATACACAAAGGAAAAAAACCACTAAGCAAAGCAGATAACTAAACAGAACAGAAAGATAAAGATGCAACAGCGGAGAGATAACATGTCAACAATAAACCAGCATTTAACAGTAATAACCATTAATATAAATGGTCTCAATGCACCAATCAAAAGAAACAGACTAGCAGAATGGATCAAGTAACAAAGTCCAACCATATGCTGTTTAAAGGAAACCCGTCTAACCCAGAAGGATACTCACAGACTGAAAGTCAAAGGATGGAAAACAATACTTCATGCAGGAGGAATTCAAAAAAAAGCAGGAGTAGTCATTCTGTTTTCAGACAACGTGAACTTTAAACCAACAATGACCATAAAGGACAAAGAAGGTCACTACATACTCATTAGGGGAAAACTCCAAGAGGAAGAGATAACTATCTTAAATATATATGCACCAAACTCCAGAGCACCCAGTTATATAAAACAGCTATTAACAGAAATGAAAACTCAAATTATCAGTAACACAATTGTAACAGGAGACCTTAATACGCCATTGATACCAAGGGACAGATTAACCAGACAGAAAATGAGAAAAGAAATAACAGAACTGAATCACACCTGCCAACAAATGGATTTGATAGACATATACAGAATGTTCCACCCAACAACATCAGAATACACAATCTTCTCAGCACTACATGGATCATTCTCTAAAATAGACCATATATTAACTCACAGAAGATTTTTAAACAAATGCAAAAGAGTTGAAATCATCCCTTGCATGTTACCGAATTATAGCACTCTGAAATTGGAAATTAAAGATACAGCAAAAATCCCGCAAACACATGGAAACTGAATAATACACTCTGGAGTAATCAGTGGGTCACAGAAGAAATTAAAGAAGAAATTAAACAATACCTAAAAGAAAATGAAAATGCAGATACAACTTACCGGGAACCCTTACACTACTTTGTTTTGTTTTATTTTTTTCTCTTTTTTCTTTTAAATAAAATTTATAAAAAAAGAAGTTTTTCCTTTCATGATCCCACATTACAAATGTGTGCTCCAGTTCAGATTATCTATCTTTAGTTTTTTCCAAGCTGTTGTGCCAGCTTTCAATAGAATTTTCAGTGTCCTGGTAATCTCTTTGAACCTGCTTCATGTATTCTATGTCTTCCCTATCTTCGCCATCAAACAAATCTCCCATTTTTTCTGTTCTTCCATTCCACCATCTGTTTTTTCTTGGGAGATGCTTAGCATTTCTTTAACTATTGTACTTATATCTTGCTTTACTTAGTTAAATATTTCACTTTTGTACTCATCTATGATGTCCCAGAGATATTGCTTCATGTCTACTGGTGCCATGCCTAATATTGCATGTTTTCTGTCCTCATTATCCTTTGCATTTACCTGTCCTCGATCAGTGTTCTCAGGATTGGGGACCAAGGACCCTTTCTTGTTGCCTCCTCTTCTCATATTTTTTGTTCCTTCCATACAGGCATATGTAGGAGGTCCAGTTTGTTTCTTTGTTGGTTACAGTTTGTTTGAATCATGCTGGCTAGGTATTCCCACCTACTGCAGTGTACTAGGGAGACACAGACCTGGGCAGCCTATGCTGGGCCTACCCCTCCAGGTCAGTCAAACTGCTGAAGGCTTCACTGCATTAGGGTGCACTGCCAGGTGCAGGGACCTGGTTTGGGCTAGCCTACTGGGTCTTATTCTGCAGCGTCACCCAGGTGAAGTGCTCCCCAAAAATCTTGCTTGAGAGGGGAATGTGTGACTGAAGTCACTGCAGCGTCCTGTTCCGCCTAGTCTGCCTGGTCCCAGAATGTCCTCTGTTGGAGCCTCCTAGTCTATGGAAGGGTCCCCGTTCCTCTCACTCCCCACAGGTTGATTCAGGGCTCTCCACCAGCTCTGCTCTCAGTTTGGTTCATGGATTCCCACTCTCAGAGCTTTTGCATCTCTATTCCCTACTGTGCCTTTTCAGATGCAGTAGCAGCAGCAGGAAATTCAAGCCATGGTTTCCAGAGGCACAGGTTTCAGCTTTGACACTGAGACTTTACCTGTTCCAGTCTTAGCACTGGGATTGCATTTCCAGTTGGTTTCTCTCAGCTCAGTTCGTTCCTGGGTCAGCAGGGTATATCTCCCCCTGCTCAGGACTCCCCACACTGCACCATTCCTGGAATCTAAGCTGGCTATCTCAGAGAGCCACTGTAGCTGCTGTTATCTATCCACCATGTTCTTTGCTCTCACAGTTCTTACTTCTTGATCAACTCTGCCAGTCTGTTTCTTTAAATTAGTAAACTGTGAGCATTTACAGTGATGATCATAACTTCTGTGTATTGGCATAACTTTGTTATGTTATTTTTCTGCTGTTTGTTTCCTGCTTTTCTCTTCTGTTTAATTGTTTGCCCTACCTGGTGGTTTTTCTTGTCATTGTTGTTCTGGGAATTGTAGTCATTTTTATCTCTTTATAGAATATCTTTCAGGACTCTTTGTTGGATTGGTTTGGTGGTCATGAATTTCTTCACTTGTTCTTTTTCTTGGATGTATCTTATTTCTCTATTAAATTTGAAAATTATTTTTGTAGGTTACATCAGTGTGGGTGGCAAGGTATTTTCTTTCAGGAAATGAAATACTCCATGACAAACTCTTTTTGACTTAAGGATTTGTGTTGAGAAATATGCCATGATTCTGAAGGTCTTTCCTCTAAAGTTGATCTGTTTTCTCTAACAGCCTTTTATATTGTGTTCTTGTGCTGGATTTCTAGAATCTTGATTATTATGTTTCTTGATGTAGTTTTATTTTTGTCATGGCTGTTGTGGTTCTGTGTGCTTCATTCATTTGTGTGTTTAATTATTTATACATGCTTGGGAGTTTTCTGCCATTATTTCTTTGAAGAGTTTTTTATGGCATTTGTGCTCTGTGCAGCTTTTTCATTGATCCCAATCATCTTATATTATTTTTTGGCTTCATCTTGTAGTCATTTCATTGATATTTCATGTTCTCTTGCTATTTTAAGACATATTTTCTGTTTATGATCTTTAGCTACAATTCTGTCTTTGAGCTCTGATATTGCATCTTCTCCATTCAGTCTGTGAATGCATATACCTTCAATGGAGGTATTAATCTCTTGGATTTCTCTTTGGATCTGTTTCATAGATTTTGTTTTTCATGTTGGGCATTTTTTGTTTCCATCATTTTTGTAAGCTCATCTACTCCTTTATCTGTATCTGTAATTATATCTATGATTTTAAGCAACATTTCTTTTGTACCATAGAGATTTTTTGTATAGATTCATCTATTTGGTTTTTCACTTCTGTTGTTACTGTTTCAGAAAGTTCCAGTGTTTTACTTACAACTTTGTCTATCTCATTATGCTCTGGGTTGTCCTGGGTGGGCTGGGTGTCTGTGGTTGTATTTTGCACCTGCATCTTTTCATTTTCTTTTTTTCTTTTGCTCTTTTTGTCTATGTTGATGCTTGCCAATTTCTTAGGTTGGATGGATTTATTAGTAACATTGAGGCTTCCCTAAGAGATGACTGTCCTTCTGGGATGTCCTTAGATGTAGTTGGTTCTTTATAGCTCTCCCAAGAACCTACTTTACCAATGTGTAAATATGCATAATTAGTATTTGTTTCAACCCCCAGCCCTTGGTAATGAACTGTGGTGATAATTATAGTCACAAACAATAGCCGTGTTATCATACAATAGAGAAAAATTGATTTTAACATGTATGATGTCCTGGCAAAAATATAACTGTTCTTAATAAAAATAGTAGTTTTAAGTAAAGCTTTGATGGAGATCACAATGAAGCAGTTCTGAGAAAAATTTAAATTAACCAATTGGTTTTGTATGTTTTACTTGCAAGTCTTTAAAAGGCCTAGTCCCCCTGTCTGGAGATGGGCAGAGGACTCACAGTAAGTGAAACTTTATTGGTCGTTGGTCCCAGGTGAGGCCTGTAGTGGCCTGTGATGCCATGATACCTTAAATGGCATGATGAGGTCACAGCTGAGGATGCCTGACTCCCACCATAATTGACTAAATAATGTCTTTAGCTGCATGCATTTCATTCCTGTATTGAAAGTCAACATGGAGACTTTCTCCTAAAGATAAAGACAATTCTCCTAAATTGGAATAAACTACTTCTCCTAAATTGACAGTCTGTTGCTTAGAAAAGTACTGAACCACTCTCAAGGTCTTGCTCAGTTTTCAGTGTTTTCTACTCTAATCACCTCCTTGTTTGAAAACCAACTAAATGTGGACCACTGAGACAATTTTTTTTTTGTCTAAGCTCCAAGAAAATCTCAAATTTTGCAAGAGGGTTTTGGTGGAACCATTAAAAATCATACTACTTGTCTAATTTATTTAAACCTTCACAATCCACTTGTTTGAGAGGTCATGGGCCTGATCAGGCCATGATAGAGCTTAACTACTGACAAAATATGGTAATTAATAATCTGCTACCTCCAACCACAGGAGGAAACCCTAATGGTATATAATAAAAGCAAACATACCTGTACTTCTATGCAATAATTTTCCCTGTAGTAGACTGATTTTACCTTGTTTCAACGGGCAGGTGTGTGTGTGTATGTGTGTGTGTGTGTGTGTGTGTTAAAATGGGAAGGAGACGGGATAACATGATGCGTGATGACAAAGCCAGGAATTAAGCCTGGAGGTCAAAGAGTGATCATCTGAGTTTTAGGAAACTGGAAGACACAGGAGGGATAGAATGAAATAAAATATGCA